ACGGCGACAAAGTTCTCCGAATCGTTTTGTTTGGTGTTGTTTTTTACGCCGCCCCCGCCGTAGCCGAGTCGTCGTCGTTTGTGCGTACGCCAACACAAACGCACTAATTATACCGCGCTCGGCGTACACGTTAATTAATTTTAAATTACGCGTTTAATTTGTGATTACCAAGAGGACGGTGGGGTGGGAGGGCGGAGGCGGACGAGTAGGAGCAGCCGTGCCGCGTACACGATGACGGGGGGGGGAGGGCGCGGAAAGGTGCGCACGGACACCAGCGGGGATCGGTTCGGAGTTACCGCACGCAATGACGACGATAAATACTGTCGCTGTTCCGCGGTACGGTTGTAAAACTCGGTTGAAACGTTCCGTCGCGCCAACACGAAACGTCCGCCGGGATACGGGGGCGCGCGGCGGGCGGAGGAACGCGACAGGCGTCGCGCTCGATTAAAAAACCACCACGGACGACGGCGGCCGCGCGTGTCCGCGGAGAGCGTCGCCGGCACCGGCGCTCGGGACCTGAACCGTAACTTCGCTCACGTCAGTGACACTCCGCGGAAATCGGTTACGCGAACAATAATACACGCACATTTATCTCGTCAGTCATTACAAACACACGGGGTCCCGTCTTTGATTTTTTTTTCATTTTTTTTTTTTTTTTTTTAATAAAATTTTAACTACAGTCGAAGTACGGCGTTTCCGTATATTCGTGTCGGCGTTACTTGGCGTACTACATTTAAGTCCACTCGGTTTTTTCAAAAAGGTTTTGAACGTTCTTTCTTTCTTCGTTGCACGCAAAACCGAAAAAGTTTCCCCGTTTCGAAATTTACCAAGCGTTTCGACAGAAAAAAAAATAAATAAAATAATATAATTCACGAACTTTTAACGCTCGAATAACACCGACGACGAGCGTATATTTCGTGTGATTTTTATGAATATGCTAATCCTATACTTATCACACGCATGTAGGTCACCGGATAGAAATATCAAGTATTTTTTTTTTTTTTTTTTTTGCATTGTAAAAAAAAAAAAAAAAAAAAAAAAACTTTGATTTTTATTAACTTGTTTTCGTTTGTACGGTGCGTTTCGGGACGGCGTACCCGTGCAACACACTCCGCCCGCGTAATACCTAAGCGCGTATACGAGAGGAATGCATGGATATAGAACCGTGTACGGAAAACGAAAGGGGGCGGTTGGGAAAGGCGGCGAAACGGTGTGAAAGAGCACTTTAAAAGACACGAAACCCGGTCGAAATAACGTTTCACCTGTCAGCGGACCGTATGATTCCTTTGATTTTTAACAAGTCGCGTTCGCTGAGAAAACGTTAAACTTGACTGAACGTGTGTTCGGTTTTTTTGCTTCTCTACCCGGAAACGGTTAATGCGGATTTTAAAAAATCACGAACGTTTACGGCGACGGCGTTTGTTTATCGTTATCCACGCGTTTCGTTATGCGTACCTAACCGTATATTTGTGTTGTACTCGAGCAGCCTAAGTACATTCCGGCGTGAGCCTTGCGCGGCGGTCAGTATCTACTTCTGCGCAGAGGGGAAAACAACGCGCATTTAAGTTCCGACGTGCGATTGTTTTTTTTTTTTTTTTTTATCTACAATATTATTGTACGGATTATTTGTTATCGTATAATAATTTCAATCGAATTGCGACGGAGTGTTGAGACGCTGCGGACGAGTAAAATCCTTCGGGGATAACGATAAAACATAATCTTTCGGAAATAATTTCGATACGAAAAAATTATCTCGGATAAAACATAATAGACAATTGGATTTTATGTAGGTGTAAAAAAATAAAAAAATACGATTTTCGTTGTTGACGTTTAACTTTCATTAACGGCTAGGATCGAAATTCGAGGGTCCGCGTCGTGTTCAATTATATTGAGTGAAAACCAAAGTCCTTCCCCAACTCGTAATAGGTATTTGTGTTGTCGTATAGACGTAAATAGTGAAAAAGAACAGAATAAAACACCGATCGGTGTTTTACGTGTGGGTTACGGGCGAACCGTTTGAAGGGCGGACGTCTAGAACAACGTTCAATGCCGACGAAAAACGATTCCGAGCGGACCGTTATAAGTCGCGCGTTTCCTGTGGCGACGAGGTCACAGGACGGCAATCGACGGGAATCGTCCGAAACGACTTCCGGCAACCGTTCCCGCGTTCGCCTGTACACGAGTGCTTAAAAATCGAAAAACGGCCCGGCCGTTTCAGGGGCACGAAAACCAAAGGCGTAACGGGATTTCCGCGGTCGGGGGAATCGACGGAGGGAACGGCGTCGTGGTAATGCCGACAACTAGCGCGCTGCGGAAACCGAAAAAAAAAAAAAAAAAAACTCACGTCTCGTTCGCGGCGATCGAAAAACGTATTTCCCACGGGCACGTTTTGCCCGGCGGCGGTTATGACGGCACGTTATCGTGTTACGAAAATCGCCGTTACCGGGCGACGGGTAAATATACGGTCCGTCCGGGCCGCGCGGCGTTTTCCGGCCGGACCCGGCAGGTCGTACGGGTGGGGGGAGGGGGTTGGGGGGGTACCCGACCGCCGCGAAAGTCGACCGGACGTCAGAGAGCGAGAGCGAGGAGAGAGAGCACGCGATGTTATTGTCGTGTCGTAGGAACGTGCGTGCGTGTTGGATCGCGGTGCGCCCGCGGTGCCGGCCGTGGAAACTGTCGTGCCGAAAAGGCGGAACGATTCCGCGCGCCGAAACCGAGGAGAAAGTTTGGCGCCCGGGAGGAGGGTGAAGGTATAGCGAAACGACCGCGAGCCCGCCCGAAACCCATCTACCCCCCCGCCCTCCACCCACGACACTTGTAAAGCGCCCCTACGGATCCGGAGAAGAGGCGACGAACGCGTTTTTGTCGGCATTTCACCGCGACCTCGTACGTAACGCGATCGGTTGCTGCTACGCGCACGGCTCTCGCGCGTGTCCGACTACGGGCGGCGGACACGCGGGACGACGGACCGTTCGTTTTTCGTTTTACCGTCTATCGCAAACGTTGTTTTCATTCGGTTTTTTTTTTCGTTTTTACCGCGCCGTCGCGTACCCGGATCGGTCGCCGCCGGCGGCTTCGGGGCGGAACTGTCGTGAGCGGATGTGCGTACGTGTGGTGGGTGGGGGCGGGTCATTCGAATGCAAATAGACCCGCGGCGGAGCCGTCGGATCTGCGCGCTCGAATTTCGGGACTGCGACTGTATTTACGAGCGCCGCGCGCGCAAACAGCGGAAAACGGAGACGCGGGGACGCGGTGCGGCCGATATCCTCGGACGGCTCGTCGTGCGTCTCGAGCGCGCGCGCGGGTTTAACGTTCTCCCGGGGATTGGAAACCGGGGATTCGCGTCGCGTACCGTCTCTCGTACGTAACAATAATAACAATAATAACAATATAAGGACTACCCGGTTTCGCCGCGCGGGAAATATATTACAATGCAACGTATAAATAATATTTTCCCCGGGCGAAAAAAAAAAAAATATACCATCCGATAATATAATACTCGATACTCGGGGACGGGACGTATACATAATGTAAAAAAAAAAAATAAATAAATAAATGAAAGAAAAAAAAAAAAAAGGAAAGAAAACCACCGTGAGTTATTTCCGTCCCCTTTGCGAGCGCGCGGGAGTGGGGCTGGTGAGGTTGGGTTAGGTCGCCCACTTCGCGCGGCCGTCCACATGACGTGCAACGGCAACGATGATAATAATACGGCGACGGCGGCGGGAAAAAAAAAAAAACCGCGGAAAACGTGTGCGGTACGCGTTCACTCGTATTCGCGTCGCGCGGCCTTCGCGTTCGCGCTCTCGTTATTCGTCCGGCGGTCTTACACGCCGCCCGGCCCTATAAGCGCGGGGCAGGAACCCCATCCTCGCTCGTCCGATCGGGAGACCGTCCGTTCCCGTACCGGCGCGTGGTCGTGCGTTGCCGCATAGTTTTTTTTTCCGTTTTTTCGTTTTTTCGATACGCGGTATTTTCGCGTAACCCTACACCCCCCACCCACCACGCCAATACCGGACTCGGGCACCCGCACTCGCGGCGGACACGGGGCGAACGGGAGCGTAGAGGGGCGGGCGCGCGTATAATACGCACGGGACGATCCGGAGGGAGCGTATTGCCGTACCGTCGCCGCCGTTTCACCCCTCCCCTCCTTCCCCGTCTGATAGTCGACACCTCCACCCCCCCCCCCCCCCCCCCCCGGACGGACGGGACACTGTCGTTTTGACGGGACGCAGCGCGCGCGGACGCATCTCGTTGCGACGTGGCCGGCCGCGTCGCCGTTGTTGTCGCCGTTGTTGGGCGATATTGAAGCCCCGCGCCCGGGATTCCGGCCGACGCAGTGGAAGGCTTTGGTTTTTGCACGCATTCGACCGTTCGTGCGCACTTCGGTAGCAAAGACGGAAATAACACAAATCGAAAAGCGAAATAAAACCACGTTTTCGTTCGATTCTTTTGTGCGCGCGTTTTGTTCCAAGCGGTTTTCGCGTCTTTTTGTATTTTCGTCGAGCCGTGTATTTTGAACGACCAGTGTCGTTTCCCACTGAAAAAATGTCATCATTTTTATGTACATTCACTCTGAAATCGAAATGAATCTAGTCTTACTGGTTTTGCGTAAACGCCGTTTTTGCGTGTCAACCGGACGATCGGACCGAAACGGCGAATGCGGGCATCACGTCCTCTGAACAATACCGACCGCCGGTAAGTCCACCCGTTAGCGTCGGAACGCCGCATCGCGTCGAAACGGTTTTCGGAAAATTCCGAGCGGACGTAACGGTTTTACCGCGTCCAATACGGGCCCGTTGGGCAATCGAGAAAATCCGGTATCTGCGACATTTCGTTTTTTGTTGTTTTTTTTAATTATACCGTTAACGCGCGCAAATACCGAGCGACGAACAAATTCCGACGCGGAAACAACATTTTTGTTGATATTGAAATTAAATCTCGACGGCGGAAACGACGCGTAAACGGCCGCCGCCGCCGCGAAACCTTTGTCGCGTCATTTTCCCTTTTCGTATTGACAACAATAATATTCCGTACACTGCAACGTCGTAGGTATTGGTTAAAATACATTACGGCTTTCTACACTTTCGCGCGCGACTCTTTTACCGACAATTTTACTCCGACTTATATTGATAGCGAATGTTCCGCGTGGTCGCAGGTACCGTTTCTACACCGAGTATTATCGCGGGTGAATCGGTCTTCTCCGTCAACGCATTTGTCCCTTTCTGTACCAGGTATACGGAATTTCATAACATTACATTATACGTTCGGTTCTTATAAACGTACGGATTGTATGTTTTGTGCGATGTTCTATTGAACGCTATTAGGCGCTACACGATATTTCCCGGTTTCGGACTCTGTGCTTATACGGATCGCTATTTTTTAATCGCGGAAAAGGGACGCGTCCGATTTCTGACGGGATCGAGTCATTACCGGATTCGTGTTTATCTACCTTCGATGCGTGGTTTGTATTAAAACGGGTCTGAAGTCCATCGAACCCTTATGGCAATATCAACAACAGCTGACCGTCGCATGCTCTCCGAAAAATTAAAATATCGTAAAAACAACCTACGTACGAATACGGTAAATTTCCTCGGCTTCGGGTCCGGCAATACGCGAACGCGCCCCAATGTAAACGAAACAAACAGCGCGCAACGAACGAAAAAGTGTACGCACGACGCGTGATTTCACGAAATCGTGCAATTTCACCGACAGAACGTAACGTGACATAACACGGTACGTTGATGCACGGCGACAATTGCCGGAGCAAAGTCTCGTGTACGGTCCATGCGTAATTGACAGCAAACGCTATTAACAGACAACATTCGTACAACAGACGTACACTGCCCTCGTAAAAACGCCGCAAGTCATTAGGCAACGTTTCTGAGAAAAAACGGGTTTTCAAATTTTGGATTTTCTGAAATTCATAAAATGAATTTCAAGTAAAACGTAAGAGCATTTCACTTATCAAAGTGTTATATGGATTTGCATATGTTGTTTCGCCCGATAAACGCAATGGAATAAAAATCAATAAAAAAAAAAAAAATAAATTCTGAAGTACTCGCTTAGTTTTTTACATTGACCCTCAGTACAATTTTTATGCAGAACTGTAATGGGTAGACTCGTGAATAGAATCCACCGGTGAATCGTATAAATAACTAACAAATAACTGCTATTGTATCATTTGTAGAGTTTTTAGATTATTATATTTCGATATGATTTATCGGTTACAATATTACGATAAGTAAAACGGATTACCAATCTGTGCCAATTTGTACTTGTGCAAACGCCCAAAATTATTATTTTTTATTGTATACCCGCCGAGCAAACAGGCCGCATCTTCGTTAATACGTACGGCGTTTTTACGTAGTAAATATGCGTTTTTCGACCGTTTACGGCATTTCGTCACAACCGATATTGCTAATAGTCGTTTTATAGAATAATATTTCAGACACGCGGCTTATTGACCGAATGAGATGTCTGAATTTTACGGTATTTCTGACGTGTAAAACTGATTTTGCAATTATTTTGGACTTTTTTGGTCGTTTTTGTAATATTTGCAATGTGCACCGTCGAAAAACGACGAATTAAATTTCACGTGATATTTTTTTATTTATACGAGTAATAACCGACAGTGAAATTTTTAACATTGAATTTGCGCGTAAACATACGATTGCGCACAACTACACAAATGCATAACACGAGTTTAATTATAATTAAAACGCGTACGATGTCATCACGGAAATCGAATCGAAATTAATCAGTACCTATACGTTACACGACTTGGGCGAGCGGTACGTCGGACTATATTAGTTCTAACATGAAAGCCAGATTTAATATTCTGGAATCAAAAGCGGGGACTTATTGAAGACCGATTTTCGACAACGACTCGGGACAATCCTGTATATTACCCCGTTAATTAACTTGTACACAAACAGAACGTCTGAATACTTCTGACGGGTAGCTAACGATATACTTAACCGATTCGGTTTGCAATATCAGAGCGTATCATATGCAAAGCCCGTTCTATAAAGCCAAACACGTGTACGAACCGCCTTTGTAGTCTCGTGAGTTTATCGATTAGACCAGACCGACACGGGGATATGATCAATAGTTTTTAAAATGGCTTGTTCGCCCGGTATCGCAAACATAGGAACTCTAAATATGATTGTAAATTGATCGGTATCGCCTATTCGGTGTTTTTCCCGAGTTTCTCGCACAAACTCTCGTTGCTGTGGTTTCTATACGACGTTTCCATACCTACTCCAATGACACGGACTTGTAGAAAACGACATTCCGACATCACGCAAACGGTCAACACCACGACGAGTGATTCGTTTAAAACGAAATCGTAAGTATTAAAAAAACAGCTGTCATTTCATTCGATGTAAACGCCGCGGCGGCTCAAGTGCACGGGTGTGTGACGCGGATACACGAGACAACAGTTGTAAACGATACGATAACCGTACGACCACAACGAAATCCCTCAAGTCATAACGCAAAATCAAAATCAATCGATACGTTTATTAGGCCGGTCGCAGGACGATAATGTAAAAAAAAAAAAAAACTATTGGAAAAAAACTCCGAACCGCACTCATCAACCGAACCCGACCAGGGCTCGCGATTTTTCACTATTATCGTTACTCGCGTCCGCGCGTGCGCCGATGTCCGCACCGCAGTACGATATTATAACACTAACCACTCTGTACGGCGGATGAACCCACGGGTGATGTCCCGTCGCCCCGGACGTTCTCCTGAAAACCCCGGGGGCTCCTAATAACGGCCGCGGTCGACCGCTGCCGCCCGGTACGATTGCGGTAGTATACGAGTACGCAAAACGGTCGCCGCCGGTCTTTGAAATCCCCCCCGTTTCGGTCTCGATGCAAGTATTGAAATTAAAATAGAAATTTATAATTGAATTGTTAAACAACGCAAAATGAATTATTAGAGAGTATTAATTTCATAAAACAATACGCTAGGGTTGCGCGATAACGGTTTCGTTTTATCTGAAAAATATTGAAAACCGTTACTTATTAAGTTATCCGCGCAACGTATAGGCGTATAAAGATTTAGAGAATTTAGATACTGAGTGGAACCGAGAAGCTCATGTGTATTACGAACACGTTTGATCTTTGTGCAAACTTTCTACCGGAAATCTCGCTCCGGTTTTTAAACGTAGCGACTTTAAACGACTAAAAGGAAATCGGACTTGAGAGATACTGTAAAAAGATCGTTTTCCAATTTTCTCAGGAGTTTTCTCATCAAATGTGAAAAACCGAAAAAAAAAAAAAAACTGAGGAAAAACAGGAATATCTAAGTAACGCCGGTATAAGTTAACATGTAGAGCCTTTTTTTTTTTTTTTTCCCGTGAACAACTTTACAATTAGCAACTTTGCTCCGTTTTTACAATGACATAGCTTTTTCCAAACGTATTTCCGATTGAGGGGGTGCACATTAAAGACTTTGGTTTTTTTCCCAAGAGTTTTCTCAGCAAATGCGAAAAATCGTGTAATTCGTGAGAAAACCGGGAAAAATCGGTGTAACATTGAACAAATATTATTAACGAAAACATACAAAGCGCGTAATTAATTATTTTACCGTAGTGTAATGTCATAAACTGTATAGTGTACGGCTACAATATGACGTATTTATACACAGTTGACAAAGCATCATTTTCAACCGAACGTCGCCCGGAATCGTTTTTTTTCGTAATCAATGGTTTATCGTTGCCAAATTAAATTGCCCATGACGTTTGCTCAGCCCGTTCCCGTTATCCCAGGGCCTCGTTTTTATTTGCGTTGACGTCGTTCGATCGTGTGTTCGGTCGCATTGTTATTCACGTGGTCGTGTTATTAATGTCGACCCGAGATGGTTTATCGATTGTGGCGGTTAAACTTTCGGCCCAAACGGACGGTGGAACGCGGGAACGAGAGGATCGACTTTGCAGCTGGTCCGAGTGGATCGATTCGAGCAGCGAACCGACGGGTGCCGAACGGACGAAGGTTCACCGCGGCAAAGGCCGAAAAAACCGGCGGATGCGGGGAATACGTGGGTTGGCGGACGGTGGGCCACAAGGGAGATCGGTTCTTTGGAAGTGACGGAACGGCGGGAAAAGAACCGGACCGTCACGGTTATCGATTCCGTTACGCGTTACGCGGAATGACTTTGCAGAGATGCATTATGACGACGTGACCTAACCAATTATGGTCTTATAACACGGAAGAGTATTGTTCGGACAATACGCGCGAGTTAATGACGGCGGTGCGATTTTACACCGGGTTGACGTACCGGTATGAAAACCCATTTTTCTCGATTTATCGGTACCCGGATTTTTTTTTTTTTTTTTTTTTCGGCGTCCGTTCATCGATACTGGCCGCGATCCAATAAAGTAATTAACGTTCGTGTGTGCGAGCTCGTTTAAGCGAACAAGCGTTTTTTTTTTTACGATGGGCTTGGACCGTTGTGTGTATACGGCGGACACTGCTTGGGCCCTCTCCTCCGTCCACGGAAAAAAAAAAAAAAAAGAGATATTGAAAACCGTTTCGCGTCGGGGGGAAGGCGTAAAGGAAAACACGTACGGGTAGAGAAAAAAAAAAATGTATAAAACATCAATGGGGCCGCACTCTGCGGCGGCGAACTGGGTTTATGCCGAGACCGCGAGATTTTTAATACAATATAGGAGGTGCATACTGCGTGAGCGAACCGAAATCTTTACCGTTCATTAAAGTCGGCCACCTAGACACACTGCACTCCGGTGATCGAACATGCCCGAAAACAGTGTATACGCCCGAATAAATTTTCGATTTGTCCTCGTTTTTCGTATCCGATCGTGTCTCGAGAACGGCCGCGGTTGCAAAGGTGTGTCGGCAGGTCGTGTTTCGCGTGCGTTTCGGCGGGAACAATAAAACGGGAACGGCGGAAAGCGGACGCGGTGTAATTATTACAATAACGTTGCCGTGCGGCGAATTTCGATAACGAGATAACCGCGACGATATGCTCTCTGGTCCCGTGCGTCGTCTCAAAAACATCCGAACGGACCTGAAAGACGTATCAAGGAAAGAAGAAGGATTTTATATACTCGGGGCGAAATCGATTATATCACGCTGAAAATAAAATGTGATTTGCACCGAAATCTGAAAACATACAAAAGCAGAACATTGCGCGGAGTAGGCAAAATTAAAAATCGTGTAAATTGCACGAAATATATATACATATTTATAATAGGCTTCGAATTGTCCGAACGATTGACGGAACAAATTGACACTCTAGTAACATTGAGTTGCCTATCACTGGCCCGTAAGATTCGTGACATGATAATATGACACTTTAATAACGATATTGTTTGTGCAGTGGCTCTCGGTGATATTGAACAAGAATAACGGAAATGTCTCGTGGAACTTTCGCTCGTCCCGAAGACGATAAATGCCGAATAAAAATAACGTCGTCTGTTTGAAGTTAACGTTTTATTTTATTATTATTATTTTTTTTTTTTTAATAACACATGACGCTGAAACCCTTATAGGGTTTAGACGCCAAATGTGCAATACGGTATATTGTTTACGCGTCATTGCCCGGAAAACGTGCGTGCACAAGTATAACGTGCATTAAAACAGCGTTTGAATCGTGCACGGAGACTTTATCTTTTGAATTTTTTATATATTCTTTTCCCTCACCCACACATACACTCCCACAAATGTATTATTATTATTTTAAAACCAAATTGACCCGTATAACAGTACGGGAAAAAATTAAAAGCCGGACGTACATCGCACCATGTATGGTGTGGCCATATTGTACACGGAACTTTTTCGACTCTCGCTACGCCTCTTTTGAACCGACGTTTTCTCAGGGCGCCCTTACAAACCGTTGAAATCGAAAAGACGATTTTGCGTGGAAAAGTATTAATCACGGTGTTTTTCCTTTTGCATTGACCGTGGGTAACCGTGTAGAAACCAACAGAAATAAAAACCGAGGGATCAACAGATAATTGTCATTTCATTTAATAAAAAAACATAATAGCAACATCGCTGTGCGCACTAAAAATCTAGAAAATTATATAAAAAGCTGTTAAATTCGAGGCTTGTCCTAATTAAAGTCTCCACGCTCCTGTCGAGCGAGGGAATTTTAAATTCTGAATGGAGCGAAAAAGCTTATAGTTTTATAAAGATATTTTTTTTTTTTCTATCAGAAAACTTGCTCCGATATTTACGTGTAGTATTTTTTCTGAAAAGAAATCTGTGTGGAGAGATACTTTAGGGAGTTTATTTTTCGATTTTCCCACGAGTTTTGTCATCAAATGTGATAACCGGGAAAAACTTAGGAAAAACGGGAAATCGGTACATTCAAATAATATTATTAAAGATAATATTTATAATGCCTGTTTAATTATTTTACCATATCTTATATATTGTTGACAAAGCATCACTAACAACCGAACTCCGTTCAGAATCGTTTTTTCGTTAGCAATGGTTAATCGTTGCTAACAGGTAGGTATACATTGGATCACTTATAAAAATGGCTGAATCCGTCCCCGTTCCCCTAGAACGTCTTTTTTCTCTTCGTAATTGATTACAATGCACTTTTGTCTTTTTTTAAATCGGTTGTTATGACTATTATTACGCCGCTCCTAATCTTTTCGATTTAACTGTGTATTTCTAATGGTTTTGACCGAGAGTAATAACGAATTCGTGCAGGAAGTCCACCGCAATCCCTCTCTCAGCGTATGCCAAGTTTAAACGCCCCGCCGTCATTCGACTCTTTAGTTTTGCGGAAAGATTTTTGCATTCGCACACCTAATATTTAAGGACTCCTATGGAACGGGCTCGTACATGTGCTGAAATTGTGAGGAAGTGGTGTCGATTATTTTTAGATCTAAAGAGATCGAAAGTTCGTGATTAACAGACCACCGGCATGTCTACAATTTCAATAACGTTGTTTGAACTTGGACTTCGTGAACATTCACGATCCGAACAGATCTTCAAGTTCCCTAACCGTCTGAAAGGTCTGCAGGCTCCTATATAATTTTGGAGATTTTGAAAATTATGTGCGCGCGCGTTTATCGAAAACGAATAATAATAAAGGTAGCGGAGTAACGCGACGAAAAAAAAAAGAGTTTTTATTTATTTCTATCATAATGTATTCTGCTAACTTTTGTAAAAAGAGAGAGAGAGAAAGAGAGCGAGCGACAGAGAATGAAAAAAAAAAAATATAACGTAAATTTTCGTTTTGCATTTTCGATGTTTTTCTTAAAGGAACGGGGTATACGTAGGTACGTGACATCGTCGGTCTTTTTTCCGTCGATTGTTAACATCAAACGGAAAAGCGCACGACTCGCTATATATAAAAAAAAAAAAAAACGTAACGAGTCTACCGTGCAATTTTAGCGATTTACGCTCGAATCTCACGTTTTGTATTATATTATGTGCAGTATTAAAAACGCGAGACGAGCGAAAAAATCAAAAAAGTTTCACGCGTTTCATGTGTTGTATACGGCGTAAAAATATCGAGTATTGTGTGTCGTATTAATGGGCAATACCGCACCGCCGGCGTCGTTTCGCGAAACGCGCGGGGACGTTTGCTGCCGTTTTTTTTTTGTTTTTTTTTTTCTCCGATTCTATCCTATTTTCCTCGGGCCGCGTGTTAATTCACGTTGGTTTTTGTTTAATTTTAATTTTTTTTTTTTTTTTTACGCATTGTTCTCTAAGAGAAGCGTCGTGTCCCGTCGACCCGTGACCAATAACCGATGGTATTCATAACGACGATGTTCGCGCGCCGGACAGGTCGAACGTGTCGTTTTTTTTCAACGTCGTTCCCCCCCTGCCCCCGGAACCGGGGACGCCGACGAAAAAACAAAATAACAATAATATTAGTAAAAAAAAAAAGCAATATATCGTCGTCCCGAGCGGAACTCCGCCGGGCCGGTCGAAACAACAGCCTTCCGTCGCGCGCAATACGAGCCGATAAATCTCGCGCGGGCCGAACGCGATCGCGTACGCCGCGAGCGCCACGCCGAGAGACGCGTGGCGACGGAGCGGCGATATCATTGTCCCCGCGTCGCTCGCGTTCCGTGACAGGGGTGGAAAAAACCCCGCGACTCGCGTTTTTTTTTTTTTTTTTCGTTCGAGGAGTGATTGGCCGGGGAAACGGCAATAGCGTAGACGCGCGTTTATATATAACGAGGCCCGCCGTCGCCCCCGTGACGCGCGCGCCAGGCACGGGGCTCTCCTCCCTGGTCTGCGCTTCTTATTTTGTTCGTTTTTTTCTTTTTT